CCACTGACAGAGGTACCTGTGCTCGGCAGCAAGCCAGTGCTGTGGCTGGTTCAGCAGAGGCCTGTAAGGCTCTTTGCTCTGGCACTGGAGCTGCACTTGGAGGCCTTCTGGGGGGCTGGTGTGCTCCATGTGCTGTTCCACGAGCCCTTCCCCACTGAATCCTTTGTTCCAGGCCATGGAGAGTGAGATCTCTGCTGCCTTTGACAGTGGTGAGCCCGAGGATATCCTGAGCAGGGCCTTCAAGCTCTCTGTCACCCGTGAGGACATCTGCACCCTGCAGCCCCTGGGCTGGCTCAACGACAGGGTATGGGATCCTGCACTTCCTGGGAAATCCCCCCCTCCCTGGGCATAGCAGTCTTCCAGGAGCTCCACTGCAGAGCCCAGAAATAGCTCTACACTCCTTATTTTGGGTACTGTGTGGGCTGGTGTTTCTGGAAGCTTTCACTTGGATGATGCAGCTCCCAGGAGTCAGTCTGGGTTATCAGAGTGGGTGTGGGGGCTTTAAACAGCAGCACAAGTCCCCCAGTGTGAAATTCTGGGAGCAAAAGCTACCAAGTGAAGTTTTCTCAGCTTGAGGGTGGCCAGCAAGGACATGTTGCTGTCTTTTTAATTGAGTGTCTTATTTCACATCTCACTTTGCCTCTCTCTGTTCCAGATAATGAATTTCTACATGGGTCTTCTGGTGGAAAGAAGCAAGAAGGAAGGATATCCAACAGTCTATGCTTTTAACACCTTCTTCTATTCCAAGCTATGCTCTACAAGCCACAAGGGAGTAAAGAAATGGACCAAAGGTGTGGATATCTTTGAGCATGATGTCATCTTGGTGCCTATTCACCTCAGAATTCACTGGACACTGCTGGTGAGTCAAATTTGCTTTCTATTTAGGGGATGGGGAGAAGAAAACTAGCAAGCAAAGTCCTTTAGTGTTTGGGGTGTGCTTTGTCTAAGTCACCTTCTAACCCCAGGTCGTAGACATCCGAGAGAAAACCATCAAATACTTTGACTCCTTGGGACAGAAAGGAGACCACATTTGTAAAACTGTCTTGTGAGTAGCTGCTTTTTTATCCATTTTGGTTGTTTCTGATGCCCTTTCCCCTCCCCATGTGAAGTGTTTCTGCCCTATCCCGTGGTGCTGCTCACTTTGTACCTCTTCTGTTCTGCTCAGTGTTTTAAATCCCCCAGAGTGTCAGAGGTGCACGTTTTCACATGTGCTGCACATCCTGACTTGTCTTTGTCAGTAAAAACCCTCCATCCAGCAGCTTTGTAGGGTGATAGCAGGAGAGCAGCCCCGCAGAGACAAATCCCAGAATCACTGAGGTTGGAAAAGCCCTCCAGGATCATTGAGTCCATCCCATGACTGATCCTCACCTTGTCACCAGCCCAGAGCCCTGTGCAGAGCCTTCCTGCCCTCCACAGGCCCACCCAGCGTGGTGTCACCTACAAAGGCACTGGGGGTGCCCAATCCCCTCGTCCAGGTCATAGATAAAGATATTACACAGGGCTGTGCCCTGGGGAGCCCTGCTCACAGCCTCTCACTGTGCCTCTAAGATTGGGATTTTCCCTCCACATTCCTCAAATCCTCTGCTGTGAGGATCCCCTGGCATTTCACTGTGATTTATCTTCCTATCACCTTTCAACAGCTTTTTTTGTTGTTGTTGCTCTAAATCAGGGAGATGGAAAGTGATTTTGATGTTGTTTTCAACAGAAAATACCTAGAAGAGGAAAGCAGGGAAAAAAGAAACATTGAATTGACTGCTTCTGAGTGGACCCTTCACAGCATGGGCACAGAGGTATGGGAGCAATGCCTGGATTTAGAATGGGAGCTAGAGCTCCTTGTCACAGAGGATTTAACACTTCCCAGGCAAGCAGAGGGAGATGATGTGCAGTTAACTGGGACTATTCCTTAGGTTTGGGAGCAGCAAATGGATTATGGAAATAGGTTTTCAGGAGTAGGTGTGGGTAAAATGTGTGCTATGACCAGATTGCTGCTCTTTCAAGACAAACATTCTCCCTGTTTTTGTATTCCTCAGGAAATCCCTCAACAAAATAATGGAAATGACTGTGGAGTTTTTGTTTGCAAATTTGCAGATTTCATCTCCAGAGACAAGCCCATCATCTTCACCCCGGTGAGAGGGGTGTAAACAGCTCCAGCCTTTCCCATGCCCATGCGAGAGCCAGGGAAGCTGCACAGCAGCTGGGGCAGGGCCTGGGGGTTTGTTCCTCATGTCTGGTGACTGCTTCCTGGGCAAGATCACGGATTCATGGAATGCCAGGGTGGTTTGGGTTGGAATGGACTTTAAAGACCATCTCATTCCAATGCCAGGATGCTGCAGCCAGTGGTTTGGGATACCTGGCCTTTGTATCTCTTTGTGAAATAGGTTTCCCCCCTTGGACCTACCTGCTCAGACCCTGGTTATTTTCCAATGTGGTGGTCTTTAATAAATGTCCCTGTAAAGAAATGTGGGTGTTTGTTGGGTGGTCGTGTCACCCTGGTGTGAAACCCAGCAGATGATCTGGCTCTGCTGAAGGTGCTCAAAAGCAGCTTCCCACTCAAGAATTCCCTGGGTGTTAATGGAGATTTCCTGCCTCTTTCTCCCCTGGCTTCCTGTGTGATGGATTTTTCCTGTTTCTTTTCAGGAACACATGCCTTATTTCCGCAGGAGGATGGTGTGGGAAATAATCCATCAGCAGCTGCTGGGAGACATGCACTGTTAAGAAAACACTGTTCTGTAAAAGATTAGTATTTATTTCTTATTAGTTAGGTAAGATAAATATTAACTTATGTAAGAGCCTTATTGTATGGGAACGTTACTTGTTAACAGAGTAATTTATTTTTTAATTGAAAATTGATTTGTTGTCTTTGTGGTTTTTAACTTGCCCCCCCCCATCTGAAGAAGAACATGGGCTGTCTCCTCTCCTGGTGGCTCTGGGGCCATCCCTGTGCTGCTCCTGACCCAAAAGATCCCTGTAGAGGGGCTTTGTCTGTCTTTGCTTTCACTGATTGGTTCAATCTGCCAAAACCTCGGGGCAGATTCTCCAAAGGAGGAACAATTCCAGCGACACTCGTGTTTTATCCTTACAAATAATTGATCAGGGTTAATTAAACTTTGCTGAGGATGCAGAACAACTGAGCACGAGGATGCAGCAGCTGGGAGTGTTTGAGGTGTCCTTTCCCCTTCCCTTTGGTCCCTCCTGTTTGGGGCTGTAGTTTGGACTGTCCCAGGTGCCACCAGAGCAGCATTCCCAATGCTGGATAGGTGGGAGGGCTCATGGAGCGGGGGTCCCTCATTGCAGCACCTGTCAGCATCCCAGGCAGCCCCACCCTGCCCCCAGGGCCATCCCAGCCCCATTTGGTGCCTTTCCCCACTGGGTGTTCCATCCAGGGATGTGCAGGGAGGGAGAGGTGGCTTTGTGGTGACAACACTTCCCAGGTCCCAGGGTAAAACCACACCTGGCAATGCCTACAACCCCACATCCAGCCCTTCCCTCCCTGGCAGCACAGAATTGGGCACCAGGGAGGAACTCCCAGCCGTGACCACCAAAAGGGACCCCAAAGAAAGCAACAGAAAGCAGGTCAGGCTCTGGTTAGCTGGATATATTTCTCTTTTTTGTTGGTGTCTCGGGTTGGTTTTCACAGAACACTTTGCAGTAGAGGAAAACGCGGATTCGCAGCCCAGGGGAG